CATTTTTGTTATTTGTTTTTAAGTTATATATGTATATATATTTAAAAAAATCTAATTGTTTGTTTTTATTTCAGCAGTCATTGGAGACGGAGCTGCCTCACCCCTCACCTGCTGCTGCACACGGAGGATAGTGACTCAACTTTTTCCTTTTTTCAAAAAAGACAAATTTTGGGATTTGGATATATTTTCTGAGTCACTCAGTTTAGTTGTTCCGTCCCAGAAAGCGTGTCTTTATGACCTTTTAGCTGCTTCCATATTCACATATTGGCACAGCAAGTCAATATGACACTGCATTACAGTCATACACTAAAACCACTCCACTATGGGCACTTACCTAAGGACATAAAGTGTAAAATTCTGCTCAACACTTTTTTTGTTTAAATCTCTGTACAGTCACGCCACTTTACTCTGTACATTAAAGCCCTAAATTTGTTCAGACCCTTCATTTTGTTATGATGGCCTTTTGTAATCATGATTTAAATGCAGACACCAGCTTCAGGCAGCATCATGACTATTCTACCTCGCTTCTCATGTATATGCCCCCCAGTCACCGTATAAGGCCCTCAGCACTGTTCTTGGGTTTGTACATTTGTACAAATTCCTTAAACTCTATATATTCAAATAGTTTTAACTTAAGATGGTTTTGCTGTGCACTCTAGTACAGTTCCTACCACAATGGCTCCTGAAACCCAGCTCTAAATGGCTTTGAAATCATGAAGTAAAGGTCTAAAGAGTTTGCTTCTTCACACAGCTTGACCTTTTTCTCCCAGGATTTTCCTGTGGATCCATCTAGTCCTTCAAACTATGCAGTTCCCTGTCCTAGAAGTAGCAATGCAGTCCCACAGCATCACTAATCCCCACCATGCTACTATTGTAGTCAGCACAGTGTAATCAGCATGTGCTTCATCCTTATTCTCCATGCTCTGCATGAGTTAACAAACTGCTCAGTGTATTAAGTGTGTTTTAAAACCTTTTGGTTGTTTTTACATTTCCCTGTTCTACTGAAATAGACCCGTTTCTAACATGTAATAAAGCCTCGTCACTGAGAGTCCAACATACCTGATGCAGCTAATGAAGTCCTTCAGTGAAAACACTTGATTGACAGATGGGTGCCATTTATTTTGGATTAAACAATTTTGGTTTTCACAGCAAGAATTAAAAGCATTCATTAGTGAATTCAAATCAGGTCCATTTAATGTTATTTTTATGTGACAAATAAAAAAAAACATGTAATAACATTTTTTGTAATCGGATTATTACTTTGTAATAAAGTGGAAGCTAGAGGATGCCATGGCCTCCCTTGGCCAATCACTGGCTACTGCTGAGGCCACATCTACTAGTTAATGTGTTCTTCCAACTGGGATTCAATGCCTCTAGAACAAGCAGTTCTCCTTAAACCAGAAGGTGGCAGCAGTGATGCCATATTGTAAAATATTCTACTTAGACATTTTAATGTAATTCATAACATCACTTTTTTTTAACCAAAAACTCACCAGCAATAAAGCAAAAAAGTATACAGAACAATTTATGACAACCAGAGAGGACTATTACAGAATCAGAGGGCTGCAGAGTGGGTAGCACTGCTGCATTGCAGCAAGAAGGTTCCAGGTTCGAATCCCAGACCAGGGTCTTTCTGCATGGAGTTTGCACGTTCTCCCTGAGTATGCATGGGACTGTAAAGTTACATGGCTTCTCTAAATTCTCCTTAGATGTGTGTGAATGGTTATTTGTCCTGTTTAGCTCTGTGTTGCCCTGCAATAGACTGATGACCTGTCCAGGGTGTCTCTGCCTCTCATCCATTGCAAGCTGGAGATAGGCACCAGCACCCCTCGTGACCTCAGCAGATATAAGTGTGATGATGAATGGATATAACAGAATAATACTTTTTTTAAGAATAGCTTTTTAGATTTTATGGGGAAGAGTTTGTCTCCACAGTCATTTAGGAGTCTTCTATTACGGTAGTATCTTTATTTGCAAGAGCTTCAGACATTCATAATGATACTCATTCATTTTCCTGTTGGTTCATTGTGTTCAAAGTATACCAAGGTTATTATCCTTAACTAAAACTAACCATGTGATAAAATATAAAACTAAAAACATTTCCGTTTACTGAAATAAACATAAAACTAGACCTTGCACAAAAAGAAAAAGAAAGAAAAACTAACTGAAATGGTAGTAAGAGTTTATAAAACGAATTCATCGTAACGCATTGATATGAGAATAGTTTCTATCTTTCTCCTGGTGTGTAAGTACTATCTTATAAAAAAAAAATAAAAATATAACTGAAACTAACCATTTAAAAAAAAGATAGCTTATAAAAACTAAAAACAAAATAGAAATTAATTAGATGTGAAAATTAAAGTTTAAAACTATTTAAATCTTGGAACAGCCTGAACCAGTTAGTGCACATCTGATCCCAGCTTGGCCGCCCATCTGAACATTTTCTGTAACCACTGCATAGAAGCCATGATGTATTATTATGTATACTATAAATTTGTACCCCTTGATGTGTTTTGGGTAAAATAAAACTGTAGGATTATTCCTAAAGGTTAAATTGAGCAAAGCAAAAAAAAAAAAAAAAGTAATAAAAAGTCTTGTTTTTTTATGATATTGAATTCTATGTCTGTAAACGTGTCTCGGACTTCATCCTTTTACATTCTAAAGAAATTTAAGAGCATGAAATTCTGAAATGGCAACACTGTCCACAGTAAATGCATGCAGGAGGTTGGTAGGGAAGCTATTTGAGCTTCTCTTTCTCCAGTTGTTTTGTGTGCAAATAAAGCACACACCTGTGGATGTTACCTGTGAGCCACGGCTCCTCCTCTCATAGGGCGCTGTAAGGTGAGCCTGGCTGCTTTGTTATTTTCCCCTCACAGCAGCCAGTTCCTTTCTGGGTGCTAGGGATGAAGTAACCTTCATCCTGCAGGTTGTTTGCAGGTGCAGTGGTCGTCTGAAGCTGCAGCACATGTCTTACAATGGACCGGGAAACTAAAGATACTGCTCAGCCTCCAGCGAGTCAAAAAGACACTGAAAGGTAAATGTTTCTAATCTACTCTTGTTTTTAGATCAGGGAAGAGTCTAAAGGCCTGCCACTTCCTCATGGGTGACTTTATATTTGCATCAGCTTCTTCCCCTTCAGATCTGAGCATTTGATGTTTTGGCCATTAATAACGCTAAAAACAGGTGAAGCTTTATTGCTTACAGAAGAACACTTTTTCATGGTTTTAAATTTAGCTACTGATTGCACTCGCATGTAATTTAATACTTAGCTATTCATTCAGCCGAGCATTTGATCACCAGGTTGCAGGGACCCAACCCAGTGGAGGAGGCTGTAGAATCAGCTGTACAGCAGGAAGAGACACAGGGCTGGCTGCTTTCTCTATCGGCTTTATTCAATTATAAAAGACGATATTTGCCCCTGCAGGATCGACCCCTATGGATTTGAAAGGCCTCAGGATTTTGATTCCTATAAAGAGATGATGAATGAGTACGTGGCAGTCCTCAACAGAAGGTCAATGAGGTGGTCCAAGCTGCTGCAAGACAAACCTAACGTGGAGAAGAACCTAACGGGTACAGAAAATAAAGGAATTTAAACTTTTGGTGATCTCAGTTTATGACACAAGTTTCTTATTTTGTTGTAATACAGCCACAAATGTAATTGGAATAATTGGGAATTTTACGAGATAGACAAACTAACACAAAAAAGGACATAAATGAGAAGTGCAGGATAAATGTACAGTTACATCAAGTGTTATTTTATCCAGTCCCTTCTTTATAAAAGCTGAGTTTTAACTGGGCCATTTTAACACACAACTTTGATCAAAATCATCCAACTGAACTCTGTATGTTTAGGCTCATTATTCAGTTTAAAAGCGAGCCTTGATCTCCTTTTTATTTGGCTCCACATGCGACTCTTTGAATCTCTACTGCATGATGCTGCCATCACCATGTTTTTTACATTAGGGTTGGTGTGTTTCATACGCTTCTGGCAACATGTGTAGAATAAACAGTACTACTTAGGTATCGTTTGATCACAGCCTCTTCTTTTTAATGTTGATTCTGTCCTTAAAAGGGTTTAAAATAAATCAGAGCTTTTGTTATTTTCTGTAAAAACAATTGATCTGTCAACAGATGTGAATCTGTGAAGGTGCTTCTCCACTAGAAGCTCTCCTAGCCCAGTTTACCAATCTAGGTGGGCAGCCATGTCTTGTCCTGTTCTTATTTCATTCTTATGAAATAAGAACAGGAAATTGTTCCAGAACTTATCCCTGTTTTACATTTTAATTTATCTTCCTCCCTGACCTGTCTACCCTACTCCTTGGTCCTTATTATTATCATCCTGATGATTGTTTTCATCAGAGGCATCTAAAGAACAGCTGCATTTAGACTCAGATTACATTACAAACAGCTGGACTGTATTTGCTCTGGATTCTAAAACAGTTATCATAATAAATAGAAAAATAATAACTAATGATTTATTAGTATACATATAATACATAGAATAATAAATAACTATATGATTGTAATTATCATGTAATTTTGTTTTTTTTTGTGTTTTCTAAGTGAAAAGGTATGTGCGTAAAGGTGTACCTAAAGAGCACCGAGCCAGGATCTGGATGGCAGCTAGTGGGGCTCAGGAGCTAATGGAGATTAAGCCGGGTTATTACCAGTCTTTGTTAGCGATGGAGCATGATGCCAAGCTGAAGGAGACCATTCATACAGGTTTATCTGTCTAACTTTATCCACTTTAAATAATTTTTAAAGCAAGAACACCACAACTGTTCATCTTTGGCCCAAATCTAACAGCAGTGATATTCTGGGTAGACATGCACCGAACCTTTCCTGACAACATCCTCTTCAAGACCCATGCAGAGGAGTGTCTGCAGAAGGATCTGTTCAATGTGCTGCTGGCTTATGGACACCACAACCAGGCTGTGGGCTACTGCCAGGTGAGGAAGAAAGCCCTCCATTCTCTTCTCAAGTCTGACCTTAAGGGTCAGCGATTTCCTTTTATGGGTTTGTAACAATGGCAAAAATATTAATAAATGAAAATAAATTAATAAAAAAATTAATTAATTAATTCTTTCAACCATCTCATGCCATTATGCTGCCTCCAACGTCTCTTACTTAAATGATTGTTTCAGAACTGTGAAGATCTTCCTTTATTACTTCACGATAACAAGTTCATGAGGCACGCCCTCAGTATTTACATTCATGCAGGCGTGTCTTCATGGTTGACTGTCATCTGCCTGCATCCTTGACTTTGGTTTTGACCTGGCCGGATCTCATGAAGGAGGAAGAGTTTGCTCTTTATATCTAACTATATTTGTTTATAGGAATGCCCGTGCTTCTAATAGGGGATTTGTATTGTTCGTTCACCATTAAAGACTCACCATTAGCTATTTCAGAGATACATAAATATGCAGCTTATTGGAGGCTTTTCACTAGTTTTTATTGGAAAAGGAAGTAAAGTTAAAAAATCTACTCTTTAATAAACTGTCCGTGTTATACTGTTCCATAACTTAACTCCAAATCTAGAATAATCTCAAGCCTCTATGGCATCCCTGACCAATCCTTTATGTAGTAAATTGATCAAGGTTGTTAAGTTTTAACTTAATTGATCAACTGAATAAAATTTTGGTAAAAAAAAAAATATATATATATATA